AAAAAAAAAAGGTAAAATAATTTTTTGAAAAAAGAGGAAATTTGAGCTACTTATATAAGAGTTTGAAGTCATTTGGGTACTTATATTTTGAATATTTAGATTCATATAAGGTTTGATATTGCACAAGTTAGAACCAATCTTTTGAGCATACCACTTAAGCATTGATTTTGTGTAATACCTATAAACACGTCTGTATTTTAATTAGAACAATTCCAGAAGTTTGGTTAAGTACGAAAATTATGATTCATTTTTAAATCTATCACAGATAATTGCGTATAGCCCCCTTCCAATTTAATATGTTAATTAAGGTCTACACATTCCAAGCAGATTGCTTTTTTGACTCAAATTAAGCTTTAGAACTCGTAACTGAACATTTTGATTTAATAGAATTCGATTGCAGTAGTTACCATATTTATCAAATAATAATTTTATTAAAATTGAAATTGATTGGCGATTGAAGATCCATTATTTCAAATTTCATCTACTTCTGGATAATTTGCAAAGTACATCCACGTGTTTCGACTTGAATGGGAGTTCATAACTAAAATTAATTTCGTGATTGATTGTGTTATATGAAAGATTTATATCTTTCTTATCGTGTTCTGTACATCACTAAGCACCGAAAACAGAATTTACATTTTTTTTGGTGCTATATTAAATTTTTCATACTCTTTATATAAATTAGATTTGCAGTAACAGAATATAACTTCGAGTAGCCTTTCTACTGAGTTTATGAGAGGTTAATCAGGCCAAGTCAGATTAAAGAGATACTAACACAACTTATAATTTAAAACGTTTTGAAAATTAATTAAGTTTGACTCCTCAAAACTTAAAGTGCGTCATCTATACCAATGACAATGATACAAGTATATAGCGTCGTGTTGTTATCAGGAGAACACTAGAATAATAGAAACCTACAAAATGGACAAATTTAACTTCAACTAAAATAGTAGATTCAGTTGCGATCAAGAGAACCGAAACCTAGTCAATTCTGATTATTATATTTATCATCACTTAATTATTAAAGAGATTGGTATCAAAAATTTAAACTGATTTCATATAGTTGCTGTTGTATAATAGCTATTATATGTACAATTAGTGAACAATAAATGATCGTTGTATTATTATAAAACTATTTACAATTTAATGGATTGTAAACTCTATATATAATGTTGTTTAGCAATAATGTCGTATTTATGTCGCATAAATACGGATAAATTAGCTGCTATACCACAGTTGCTGTTCATACTGAATTAAATCATCTCTTTTGGTAACTTTAACATTTTCGATGATGTTTTTTAAACATTCAATTCTTCTTACACACTCATCATCCAGAAAATAATTTGACCTGTCCTTCCTAAGAAAAAAAGGAAACACAACTGCAATTAATGACCTATTACTATGAATAAAATTTAAAATCAAATTCTGGACTAAAAAAATTTGATCTATGGGCGGTCCAGAAAGATCTGCAATTAAATATATTTCTGAATCATGTATAGTCGTGTCGACCATTTCAAAGCTTTCCCCATGACAAATTGTGGCAAAAAGTTTACCAAATATTTGACAATAATTGTTCACAGTTTCTGGGGTGTGCTCTTTTATATAATGGACTACTCCTTCGTGATCTTTGATCCATCTTTTTGAGGTGATGCCACCAGACTCTGATAATCTAATTGCTGTTTCATAGAAAGCTCTGAATGAAATCTCACCGATTTCCAGCATATTTTCACATGGTGTCTGAATTAAATACATGTCATTTTCAGATATCTCAAACCCATAGTCTCCAAAATAATGATTCGAAGTGATTATTTCATGTATCAGATTTGGATTGTCTACCTCATTAAACATTTGTGACATTGGTGGACTTAAAATAATCAATGCACAAATCTTTGTTGTGATATACACCTTAATCCCTGCCATCTCCACGGCATCACCTGAATTGCGTGAATTATATTCCAGAAAACAAAATGCATTATTAACATATCTAGCCCAAACTGCTTTTGGTTGAACATACTGGAATAGTGTTTCTTTGTGCAATGTAATCACCCTTGATTCTATATATTCATCTATTCTGACCAATCTTAAGTCACTATTTTCAATTTCACGAAATGTTGCTTCATAACGACTCTGGAAACTTTTCAGATATGGATTAACGACCTTATCTTTGTGCACTACAAAACCATCAACATAAATCATACCATTTGTTAAATACACAACTTGTGACCCATCTTGTTCTTCAAGTTCTTTATGTCCTTCATGCTCTTCATGTCCTTCATGCTCTTCATGTTCTTCATCTTCAATATCTTGACCTTTGTTTTTACTTAAATTCTTTTCATAGTAAGGAGTTGGTTCTCTATCCCTAACTGACTTTGGTAATTCCGAGCCACTAAAAACATCGCTACCTGTATTCGAAGATACTAAGTTTTGATTTCCAATGTGTTCCATGTTTGAGTCTTTTGTTGTAGATTCCCAGCTACAATTGTTTGACCAATTGTTTGACCAATTGTTTGACCTTGAACAACCCCAAACAGTTGGTCTATTGTTTGACCTACTGTTTGGCCACATATTGGCTCTCACAGCGTCTTGCCACGTCCAAGTGTTTAACCGTTTGGTTTGATCTAAAATAGGTGAAGTACTAATGAGTGCTGCTGAAGTGTTTGAACTTGCATCTGAGATGTTCCAATTATTAGCAGGTGTTCTTGATTGACCATTTGATATTAACATTGATATTGGTTGAGCTCTTCCTTCTGGGACTCTTGGTTCATAGTCACTACCAGAACTATCTGAATTATTATCCGTTTCAAAATTGTCAACACGGTTTATGCCTAAATCTAAATTTGAATTCATGATGAATTGAAAGGTAAATGCTGATAATCAGATTTAAAAAAGGTAAAATAAAATTTTAATAAAAGAGGAAAATTGAGCTAATTATATAAGAATTCTAAATCAGCTGTGTACTACTGATTTGAAAGTTTAGATTCATATTATTATTGATAGTGTACAACTTGAAACTAATCTGTGGTGCAAATATTGTAAGATTTCATTTTGTGTAATATCTATAAACACGTCTTTACTTTTTTTTTTTTTTTTTAAATCAATTATTTATTATATTAGTGGTTTAGCTTGCTAGACAGTAAAGAAATAAGTTCTATTTATAAAGAAAGGATTTCTAGCTAATAATTTTATATAATTTGGCATCTTTAATTTAGTTCTCATCATAGCATCTAAAAAACCTTTTTTTTTTTATTATTTTACTTTGATTAAATTTACAATGACAAGATAACCTAAAGTGGCTTCGTTAATAAGGTTATAAGAGCCTACTTAGTCCAAGGCAGATCAAAAAAAATAATTGTTAACACAACTCAATTCTTTATACTCTTCAAGCAGGGTTACGTTAGCATTCATAAAGCTACAAGAACCAAATACAAAAGAAAGAGAAAAGACAGGTTCAGTCAAACAAATTGAATTTAAGACTGAACGAACTCTGAAAGTTAAGTTAAGTTGATAATAGTTTTTCATAACTTATCAAAAATACTTGCGTACGACCCCCTATCCAATATGTTAATTGAAGATCTACGTATTTCAAAAAAAATTTCTTTTTCGACGAAAATTAAACTTTACAACTCGTAACTATACATTGTAATTTAATAGAATTTGATTACCGTAGTTACTATATTTATCAAACAATAACCTTATTGAATTGAAATTAATTTTGGACTGAAGATCCTGATTTTTTAAAGTTTTCACAATGCGTCTACTTCAGGACAAACTCCATAACTAAAATAATTTCGTGATTCATTATGTTATATGAAAGAGTTATACCTTTCTTATCGTGTTCTGTACATAACTAATTACCAACAATAGAATTCAAATTAAATCTACATTTGGATAGTTTTTAACGTACTTACAACGTGTTCTGGATAGAATGGAAGTTCATAATTAAAATAATTTCGTGATTTATTATGTTATATGAAAGGGTTATATCTTTCTTATCGTGGTCAGTACATAACTACAACAATAGAATTTACATTTCGTGACTGCTTGCTTATGTTCTTTAATTAGTGGACAACATTTTCAAAAGAAGAAGATTTTGAGATTACTTACTTAAGATTTTGAAATCATTTGAAGTGTTCTGATATTAAAGTCTACAATCATGTAACTGTTGTAATACAATTTGAAACTTATTTTTTGTGCAAGATTCAATTTTGTGTAACATAGCACTGTCTTTATTTTAGTATATAATTTATATAGAATGGCTTAATAATATAGTTGAGAGAAAAAAAAAAAAAATTACATTTATAGATAAGATAACATTAACTACGATCCACACATTCCAGAAAATTTGCTTTTGTGACTAAAAATAAACTTTACAACTCGTAACTATACAAATACAATCTGCTAGCTAGATTCACCTCCCTTATTTCCCCTGGCTAGATTCACCTCCTTTATTTTTTCCGTTCTATGCTGAAATCGCAGTTGATTGTTAATTGAAAATTCTGCTTTTTGAATGCTTACACATTCTATCTAATACTTTTGACCTGTTTTTTTTCATTTGAAATTTTACATCTACATCACTTCAATCTACTAATTTAATTAATAATTGATTTTAAAAAAAAAAAAAAATCTACAAATTTCAAACAATTTGCTTTTGTGACTAAAAATAAACTTTAAAACTCGTAACTATACAAATACTATTTGCTAGCTAGATTCACCTCCTTTATTTTTTCCATTCTATGCTGAAATCGCAATTGAATGTTAATTGAAAATTCTGCTTTTTGAAAGCTTACATATTCTATTTAATATTTTCGAGGATTTTTTTTTTAAAAGTTCATAACTACCTCAACATTTGTGATTAATTGCATTAACATCATAAAAGGGATATTTTTTTAATGTGTTCTGATAATAACACATCATGATTGAAAAATCATGGAATTTTATTTCCGTGATTGATTAGGACATATATTAATATCTTGAATAAATTTGAACTTGTGATAAAGATCATCGATAATGATTTTCTTCGATTTCATGATTAATATTGACAAAGTATTCGAGTAAGAGTTTCGTGTCCAAATCCATATCTAAGAACATAATTAAGATCAAATTAAATAACGTCAATGATTTTAGAATTAATGGTTTGTAGTAATATTTGGCAAGCTTAATTTAAAAATTGATAACAACATAAAGCTAATTTTTTGTTTTCAACTACTTTTAATTACAACTTGATTAATAGTATTTGTCATTGCTCTTATCTATCACTTCATTTATTTGGAAGGGGAACTTCAAATTTGGTAAATTAGGTATTTAAGCCCATTCCAAAAGACTCGCATTAAAATAACAAGAGGAACTTTTTCATGTGAAAGCTGGCATGAACATTTGATTTGTAAGAACGTCTTTACACATTCCTATACACAATAATCTTTTAAAAGATTTTGTAGCTAAATAATCCCCATCAATTTCTATAAATTCATTGTAACATCTCCATCACCCTCATCTGTGATACCATTAATCTCATGAAGCTTAATTTTAAACTGCCTTTCTAAGTAATCTTTTGTGGTTGGCCTTCGAGTTGCTGACAATAATATCTGTTTCTGAAATAAATCAACAATCGATGCTTTTATCTTATAAAATCTTCTGAAAACTGGTGCTGATTCAATCAAGTTTGCTTCATCTAAAACAATAAAACCAAGTCTTTCCCTGTGTATTATTAAACAATCTTCAAACTCCTTACTCTTTAACAAATCAAAGCAGCATACAACAATATCAGTACTCTCTACGATTTCACCAAAATCATCACCGTCAAGTACGGAAAAATCCTCCTCAAGGCTTAGCAACATCTCATCTTTCAATTTCAAAGTAGGAACAGCTAATACATGGAGAAACCTCCTGTTTGTCAATCTTTTAAACAATTGCATGGGTAATGATGCACAAAAAGTTTTACCAGCACCAGTGGCAGCAATTAAAAGTGATTTTGATTTACCTAGAGCAATTTGCAAAATGGCATGATATTGAAAGCTTGAAAAATCGAAATCTGGAAACTGACCCAAAATTGCTGAATTGATTTGATTCATGTCGAATAATCCAAAATTTACTTGATTCTTTGATTCAGTTGTCTTAGTTAAACTTGATTTACCGGAAATTTGGAGGTATTCGCACCATTTTTCAAAAAGCTCAATGGTAGCATCGAATTTATATGTTGAAAAATATATTCCAATACTGTTTATATCTTGACCATATGATCTTTCACCAGTTTCCATTGTATGACCCTGTAAATTTTCCATAAATTCTGCTGCTGCGTGATTCATTAATCTTGGGAAATTCCTTTTCGCAAAGTATGAAATAGCTTGTCTTAAGATCATGATGCCAATTTTCTTATATGTAATTAAAGATTGTAGAAATCGGCTGAATTTTGATGCAGTTATTAGTCTACCACTATTATCGACAAAGCAGAACGTTTGAAAACATGCTGTACCACTCACCTCACCACGGAAATCACTTGATGTAAAAGTAGTTAAGTCCTGCTCCACTAATGTAAATTGCAAAGGTTTTAAAGCATATATAAAAGCAACCATCATTATTGTAACTTCTGTTGAATAGCAACGTAATCGAGGATCTTCTTGCTTGTTTTTATTATACAACGTTTGGATGAATAGCTTACCTGAGATAAAAAGCAAATTTCTTTTAGCAAAATTCCGAGCCCTGAAGTTTAGTGTATTCAACTCTGGGACTCTGAACGAATTCATGGAACTAATATAAATGACAACCATGAGAGCCAATGTTGCTTTTTCAATCCACTTCAAGACCAGTCCCTTATCATCTATTTTTATATTTTCAGCATCAAAAATTAATTCAAGTCTATCTGGTAAAAAGCTTGTTGTTTGAAATTGTTGATCCCTTGCAAATATTTGATATACCACCCTCATATCCGTTTTTGTTTTACTAAATAAACAAATATTTTCCCATGCCTCTGTAAAACTAGTTTTGGCTTTTTCATATATTTCGGTGAGATGACTTCTAGCAATTTGTGTGTTTTCGACTAAACATGTATTGTCGTCTATAGCTATGACATTGATACTTGCATACTTTGACATATCATCTAAAAGGCGTGTGAAAAGATTATGTGTGAAAATAAAACCTGGAATCTCAGCTGATCTTCTTGATAGATGTTGCTCATATCTCATAAGGTTTTCTCTGGTGGTGGCCATTGCATACTTGCATACATTTTTCAAGCAATTAATTCTTTTTAGGCACTCTGATTCCAGGCAATAATTTGTTTTGTCCTTCATAAGGAAAAAAGGAAACACAGCAACAATTAATGACCCGTTGTTATGAATAAAATTTCCAATCAAATCCTGAACTAATGAAACTTGCTCGGTGCTAGACATTTCTTTAATATCTTCAATTAAACTTAATTCCAATGCATGTGTAGTTTTGTTGACCATTTCAAACTCCTTCCCTAGGCAAATTGTAACTAAAAGTCTTCCAAATACACGACAGAAGTTGTTCACGGTTGCTGGCTTGTGCTCCCTAATAAAGTTGACCATTTCTTCATGATCGTTGAATCTCCTTCTTGATGTAATACCACGGAACTCTGATGAACCAATTGCATTTTCATATAAAGTTCTATAAACACTCTTACCAATATCCACAATATCTTTATCATATGGTGTTTGAATCAAATTCATATCATTTTCTGATATTGACAATCCCCCAAAATAGTCATTCAAAGTACTATT